GGTGAGCCGAGTTTCTGAGAAGCAGCCACTGGAGCACAGACACAATGCAAACCCCTTCCACCACGGCACCTTTCTTCCTTTGCTTTTCTCTGCTGCTGTGGAAAGAGCTAAATATTCACCCTGCTCTCCCTTCCCTTCCTGCACGATTGCTATTAGTGGCACAGACCTTGTGCTTCACTCGCGTTTCATCACCTTTGCATCAGGGCACGGGAAAGTTCAGGCTCACGCTGGGAAACACACACTTAGATGAAGATGACGCCACCGGGACGTGGCAGGGCATCAACAGCCCCCGGGGTGCTTGGGGACGAGGGCTATTTGCTGGAACTACTGACATGCCGAGAAAAGGTGTGTCTAATCCACTGCCCAGCTCCTCTGCCTATACACGCCTGCGTGAAGCTGGTATGCAGCGACAGCACTGGGTGTTCTCGGTGGCTGCTTTCAGGAAACCCGAGTGGACACGCATGTTTTCACTGATAAGGATCTTACCACGCCCATGCAGAGAGTGCTGCCCCAGTGTTAAAGAGGAGCGGGGCTGTGACTCCTCGCTTTCGATCTAAGGCACTTAGTCAGTGCCTCGGTTTCCCCAGCTCTAAAATGGGGTTAGTAATACATCGTTGAGATTATGTGTTTCTCAGGTGTGGGATTTTATAGGCAGCTATAAAACAAAATGTATTGTATTGAAGAGAAGTTGCACGGTACTTTGAGAGCCTAAAAAGACTGTATTGAAATGCTTATTTTATTATTTATTGCATTGGAGTGATTGAAAAAACTGTTTTAAAGGAGTGTATGCAAGCATCATACCTGTGTGTATAGTATCCATATACACACACACACACAGAGTTTTTACTTACCAATACTTTAAGCTCATATCTACTAGAAAATGCCTTTGCTTTCCAATTTTCTTTTAATCCTATATATTGGCTGCTTGAAAAGTCACAGGTTGCACAGAAGTCTTACTGTTTTCTGTGGGGTTACCAACTAACTCCAAGCTAACTCCTAGGGTTTTGTGACTGTATGAGCGTGGCTGGAATGGTACATTACAGCTGACACACACTGCCCTGTAATTCATGTGTGTATGCATCTCATGTCCAAGGAGCACTGCTCTGGAGATGAAGGCACTTAGAGGCCATGGATGGTGGTATATGAAGCAGAAAAATGGAGGGGGTACAACCAGGAGGGAGGAGTGGGAAGGGTTGGGCAGACAAGCCCGTGGAGTCTTCCACAGCAGCAGAAGAGCTCTTAGGGAAACCCCTCCTGAAGCTCCATCACCTCTGGCTCCTAAGCCGTGCCCGTTAGACAAGCCCCTGGCCCTGAACACGACAGTTGCCTCACTGACTGCTTGCTTGCTTGCAGTTAGGTCCCTATTTCACACATTGATGTGCAGCATCACCGCTTCCCTCTTGCTCAAGGCCCTCTGCTACACTCCATATTAGACATTGTGGAAGTAAAGGGAGGACACAACCCTTCCCTGCTCAAGAGACTGCGGCCTCATTGGGGTGTTGCTGCAAGAATGGTTTTGTAGGTAGACGGATGAAAACCAGCTATGATCCTCCCAGGACTGGCAGTAGTTTCTATCGCTCTCCGTAACATAATGGCTTGGCTTTAACGGAGAGCACAGACCACCTTGTGTTAATGAGTAATAAAAGCAATCGACCCGTAGTGCATTTGTCTCTTAGCTGGGAGTGCGTGTAGTCGAGGTGATAAGGCTGTTACATTAGCAAAGTTATGCTGCATTGATACCACGCAGTTTAAGAGCCCTACAAGGCCAAGCTCTGATAATTAAGTATTAGGATACCCTAATGCTTTTGTTAGTGTCAAAGTACTGTAAATGTTAAGTTAGCCAAGAGAGTAAGATACAGTTAGCATATATAGTACAGCCTACAAATCCATTTGAAAGCTACACTGAGTCATGTCAGCCAGGTTTTAGGCTATACAAAGGCATCTTGGGAGGTAATTTTGGGAGAGCTGTTTTCCGAAGCTGAGCGGGCATCTGTCATGCTAAGCTAGGAAAGCAGAGTATGATGAGAAACTGCTACAGACTTTGCTTCATGAAGGTGCTGACTTGTTTTAAATAAAGAGTATTAAATATGTACCTTGCCAGTTTCTACTGAATAAGAATATTGTATTCTTTCTAGTAACTCCAGCAGTTTCCATGGGACTGTTTGGAGACATGGACCTAAAGAAGGACCAGATATTGGATTGCCCTCTCTGTCAGGTGAAAATCACAAACCATCTTGTGTTGGATGCTCTGGAGCAGTCTTACACCAGGGAAAACTGGAGGATCCTGACCTGCTCTGCTGCCGAGACCAGGATGCTCCCGAGCCCTGAGCTAGATGCAAATGGATGGTATGAAGCCACTTCCCATCCCCTGGTGACTCATGGCCAGGGAAGCGCTGGCATCCTGCTCTAGGAAGGGTCACTCGCCTGCCCTGCCCTGCAGGAAGGGTGAACACAGGGAGGTGGATGGAGCTGGGACAGCAACACAAATTGCTGGGCATGTGGAAAATAAACAAGACTCTGCCAGGACTGCCGTGACAGCTATGGAGAGATGGAGTGAAGCACAGGTGGCACTGGCACCTGGACACGCTGCCTTCATCCCTTAGTGGAATTTGCTCCTTGGGATGACATGCGTGGACATCTGATGAGCTAAGCTGGAAGAACAGAGTATGATGTGCCCATTACAAAAGCTTAAAAACACCGCTCTGGCTATTACCATGGTCCTGCTGTTCCCCTGGGAGTTTTTTGTTTTCTACCTCAGTCATGCTTGTATTTGGCACACTTTCACCATGTGCCAAATGAGGAAAAATGGCCCATTCTCCCCAGCTGGGCTTATCCTGACTGAAAGAGGCTTGTATTTGGGTGCAGGACAGAATGAGAAGGCAGGGAGATCCATATGGCTATAATACATTTGCTGGCTAATTCTCTGCTACTGTAAAACTCTGCTTTTGCCGCCTCTTGTGGAAGGCGCTCTCAGAATTTCCAGGCCTTTTCTGAGCTCACCACACCACTTTTTCTGAGTTACTACTAATAACAACTGGCTAGGATACCTTGTTTTGAAAACTGGTGCAGCCACAGGTTAATTAACACAGTGCAAGACAAGCATAGGAAGATGATGCATATTATCAGTACCTGTCTCATATCAATGCCATCTATATCTATGTGGCTAACGAAAGTCATTATGCTTTATGGGACCTGCATGGCCAATGCCCTGTCCCTGTGGGTCAGAACTGTTGGAAACACAACTCTATCCTTGTCAAAGAAAGCCATGAAGTGAAGATCATGGGTGGTTTTACCTTGTATAGACCCTTGGATGCCAGAAAACTCAGCAGAAAGCATTATACCTGCATAACCATATCAAGACATGCATCTGGCAGAGACGGAAGAAGAAAAGTTCCTCACTTGTCAGCTTCTATGAATGGAATTAGAAAACAGAGAGCAGAAAAGCTAAAGCAGCGGAGTCCTGCAGACCCTGGCCTTTTGACTTCGGACTTTTGTTCTCTACCCAGTGTCTCCCAAAACACGTGCTGAGGACCTCTTCTGCGGTGTGACCTTTGAGGAACGGAGCGATCCCAGGATCAAGGCAAAAGATTGTTAACTCAGACAGTAAAACTGCCTCATGAGGTTATGATGGCAATTGTATGGGTTATATATTGTAAGAATAATAAACTTCTTATTGCTATTGTATTTGGAGGGAAATCTTGGAGAAGAGAAAGCAAGCGTTGAGCAGTTCTGTAAAAGTACCGATTGGCTCCATCTGGAGGTGACAACTGAGATGACAGACACCATCAGTTTGGGAAAGCAGATTGTAAGCAGAGCTGAAAGCAGAGTGAGAATCTGCTCCTCAGCCCTGTGTTGAAGACTTTCCCACTAAAGGCAGGTCTCCAGTCTTTCATGGCTTCTCTTTTCAAAAATAAAGATCACTGAGGATGTGATGGTTTCTGTGCATTTGTACCTTTGGGGTGGGATGAATTTCTAGTCCCGCTCCCCCTTGGTTTTCCTGGAAGGTGCCCTGGATCCTTGCTGGGTTTCTCAGCACTGCATGAGAGGAGTGAGAAGCCTCTTTACAGAGGCCCCGTCATTCTGTCCCCGGCAGCCTGTGTGACCCCTGCTCACCCAGGGAGTCCTGCAGGAAAACAGGAAGGTTGCAATGGCAGTAAGCAAGCAGGCAAAATCCAACCAAACAAAATCCCCCAAACTGGAACTGGCTTGAAAAGTTCAAGATTCCCACACGGGAGCTGGACTCAGGCCATGAAGAAATTGAAGTCCAGGGCATGAGAAATATCTAGGTTTGGCTTAAATGCAGAATACAGAGCTCCATATCTGAGCTAGGATGGTTGTTGGTGTTGGCTCTGAAGGCCCATGACTGTTAACCTTTTTCCTTCCCTTCCCTTCCCTTTCTGGTGACATTCCTGCGTTGAACTAGATAATCACTGCATCAGAGACCAACAGCGTAACCAAAGGGCCTGGGATCTACAGCAAGACACTTCATAGTTGCTCACTGCTAAGGCATGAACCAATGTACAGGAATAAACATGAGTGTGCACATGAGAGCTCTTCTGTGTGTCCCTTAGCGGTGCTCAAAACTTCTGCCCTGAAGAACAAGTTTTGATACTTTTTTTTGCTTCCTACTTTGCCAAAACCTGCAATGATATCTGTTTTCCTTGCAAGTCCAGGACTCCAGTTACCTGCGTGCCACTTCTGCACAGCCCCATTTCTCTTCAGCCAGGCATGACAAGAGCTTTAACCGCGCAGGGCGGATTGGCTGCAGCAGCTCCTGTGGGCACTCTCACCCTCCTCCCATCCCCACTGCGGGTGAACGTTGCTCCTGCGGCCATCACTAATGGATGGCATCTGCAGAAGTGAGAAGTTCCCGCTGTTCAAGGCCACTGGAAGAGGGTGGTGGTGACCTGGGACACTGAGGCTCTGCCTCTACCCCAGCTTTAAGAACAAGGGCTGGGCACTGTTTTTCTCACCCCCCCTGGATGTGCTGAGCACCTGCTGGCATGAGGTTTTTCCTCCAGTATGTGGGCTGTTTTTTTGCTTTTTTCTCTACTGGGTTTTTGATAGCATCTACCTGGACAGACTGCTGGATGGTGAACGCTGATGATTCCCTGGAGGTAAGATCGGGGTGAGGAGAGCCTGATCACCAAAACAAATGTGTCCTAGAGAGAGTTTGGTTCCCGGCATCATTGCTCCATTCTCATGTACTGTTTCCCTGTTGTGCTGGATGAAAATGAAATTAATGACTCTGTCAAGAGCAGGGGGAAAGTGGTATTTTGTGTAATTCTCTCCACCAGACTTTATTATCCAGACTCTGCTCTCAGTAAGTTCAGGAAAGGTCTACAGGCTTTAGGTTTAAATGTGCATGAACTTGAGTACGGTTATCCTGCATCTCCAGCCTGCATGGATGTTTTGGAGATGTTTCTAATTCTGTAGGTCAGACTTCTTGGTGGAAAAGTCCAGCATGTATGCCTGTGCTTTTCAAATCTTTTTCATAACAGCCATTGAGCTATAGGGCTAGCAGAAATTTATGGGGAGCATGGAGACTCGTGTTAGATCCAGCACTAAAAAATATCTTCTTGAACTTGTGCAGACATTAGCACTCTCATGTTAGAGAAGAGTATTGGCAAAAGTAAACTGCAAACAACAAGGAAGCAGAATGCTGCATACGTGCGAGCTGCACCCCAGAAACTCCAGACCCCAAACCGTCGCCATTTCTCCAGCACTCGGTACTGCAAATTTGTATTGTTCTTCCCAGAGCAGCCAGCTAGCACTTTCTGTATATTTAAAGGCTGCAGGTCCACAGTGTGGGAATCTGCTCTCTGGTAAAGTAGATACTTTATGCAGTGAGGGTGAAACACCCTCCAAGACAGAGAGTTTGGTTGAATATATCAGGATGAAACTTTCTACCTGCTATCCAGCATAGGAAACCAGAAGAGCTCCTCTGCGCTCAGTGATTGCAACATTTAGCTGCATCACATCAAGTGATGAATTATCTGAAGAAAGAAGGCTAAAAGTGATGACAAGAAAAATACCTTTTTTCTCTATGCCACATGAAATCCCGACAATCTGACTGCCACCCTGGAAGGTGGTTGTAGATGCTGAGGTGGTCATAGATCCAGTGCTGTGAGGTTGCTGATGGTCAGTGCGTCTGCCCAGTGAGCCTCTTTTCAGGGAAAACAGTGTGCACCCACTGATGCTGGCTGGAATATCACTCTTCATTTATCATCTTAGTTTAGGAGATATTTTAGATTCATTTCAGGAAGCTGTGAATTGCCTGGAGTCAGCTGAAGATATCAGTATACTCAGAAAAGCCAAATGGATCCCACATTGTGCCGTCATTTCCAAGAAAATCAGAAGAGGGAAACCCAGCTCCTGAGTAAAGCCGAGTCCAGGAAAGAACCAGTCCATTACCCTGAGGCTGTGTAACCTTTTCTTCTTGGCACAAAGGCACCTGGGCTGGGCTGTCACAAAGTGCTCCATTAACACCCAGTTTGGTTATTAGCAGCCACTACTCTCACATTCCTGCTCTGAGTGTGAATACTAAATAATGGAGAAAAATGCCCCCAGCCTTAATACCTGACCGACTGATCTCCTTAATGGCCTTAATGACTCACTGCCTCTCTAAATACGGGCATGCAGGTAAACTGTCCATGGCCAGAAAGGGGTGGAGTCCACAGTGACTCCTGTTTTCAGCTGGAAAAAGGGTGATTCAGGCAACTTTTAATTTCAGGAGAAAGGAACTCCATCATCCAGCATAGAAAGTCGCCTGGCTTTGACCCTGGCCCCCAGCAGCTGGGGAGGAGGAAGCCCTGGCTGCGGTCCCGCTGGAGGAGCAGCCCAGGAGAAAGAGGCCAGGGAGCACCAGGAGCAGCTGCCTCTGGAGGGGCTGCAGGGGCCCCGGCCAGCGCTCAGCTCTCACAGCCCCTCGCCTCCAGGTTATGGCAACACAGAAAGTGGTTTAAGCTGGTGCACTCCGTGTGAGCATCAAGACAAACCTGGGTCAATTTTTGCAGTAGTCTGTGGTGGAAAAAGCCGTAATCTGCTTCCCAACAAGCACTGTATTTTGTACACAGTCCCTCCCTGTTGCAGGCGGATTAAAAATATTACCACTACTGTTAAATGTTGCCTGTTTTACTCTCGTGCTGGGCTTGTAATCATTGTATGTTGGCACCTTTTTACAGTGCGGTAAAACACTCTGACTAACATCCCTCACATGTTTGTCTTCTGCGCTTTCCTCAGAAGGGGAAGTGTGTGCTTGTTCTGTCATTTTTTTGTATTAGAATTATTTTAATATTAATTATACATTATGCATATGATATAATTATATATATTACAGTCATTATGCAATTTATGTTTTACATGCATACTTGTGTTAGCGAAAGCAGGTCGTGGCAATGTGTTTCGTAATCAAAGTGGGAGATGAGGAGTTTGGCCGTAACGCTTAGCTTCTCGGGGAGTCCTTGGTTGGGCCCAGGGAAGCTGGAGCAGATTTGCTACGGGGGGAAAGAAGTGATGGGGAATTAGTGCTACCAACATGGTGCATAGATCCAGCCATGGGATGGAGAAATCCATGCCCCCCTTGTGTTGGCTTTGGCTGCGGTAGAGTTAATTTTCTTCACAGTAGCAAGTATGGGGCTCTGTTTTGGATTTGTGCTGGGAACAGTATTGATAACACAGGGATGTTTTCGTTATTGCTGAGCAGTGCTTACATAGGGTCAAGGCCTGTTCTGCCTCTCACACCACCCCACCATGTGCCCATGATGCCCCAGCCAGACCTGACCCCTCTCCCGTTTACAGCGGCGAGTTGCCAGAGTTGCCATGTGCCCCAGGGTCTGTGCTGTCTGCGCAATGGCAGATGCCTAAGGGTGGTTTGGGAGCAGATTAACAACCAGAAGGACAAACGGTGCACAAAGCAGATGAGAGCAAGGGATGGCCGAGGAGGTTAAGAGGCAGATAACAGAAACCACAGTAGTTCAGCAGTGGCTCAGGCCAGCCACAGGTCCCCCCTCTGACGTCTGTTCCCATCACTCCTGCACAGGCAATGAGACATTTATCCCTGGCTGTGCACGTGCTGCATAGAGATCGGCTGATCCCTGATTTTGCCCATGTTCAGCGCTAGCAGGAGTAGGTGGCAATTGAAACATCCCAAGACACACAAAACATTAATCAAGTTTTTTCTAGTCTAGGAAGGGGGTTGTTTCACAAGCGAGACCACGATCACAAATGTTGCACCTTAAGACCTCTGTTTTGCTTGGAGGCTAATGAAGCCTGGAATCCTGTTAGTCTCTTTATAAATAATTTAAATGAAGATGCTGCATGTAAGACTTACTTAGAAAACAATATTAATGCGAGCAAGTGAGGAGTAACTGAGAGCATTAGCCGACTACAGAGTAATATGAATGAGCCTACGGTGGTTTGGGAGGAACATGAAATGGTATAAACACAAGTGGAACAAAATATAATTTAATAAAAAATATGCTAATTTCAAGCACAGCCTGAATGGTGGTGAGTTAAGACAAAAGAGGAGTTGTAGCTGGGTTAAGAGGGCCATGGTAAAAACTTAAGTCTGATATAAACATGGCAAATTGTAATATATGACACTGTTCTCTTGAAAAACACAGAATCAATGAAACCAGGTTTTTCCCGCATTGCTTCTTTTTTTCTGTGTGGTATTTTTCATTAAACCTGCCCTGAAATTCTGAGAAATTATGTGTAGTTTTCATCTTCACAAAACGAAATGTGTAGATTGTTTTCATTCAAACATAAATAGTATCTTTTTTGCCAGTCTGAAGTAGTGAATTATTTTTACTCACCTTTAATCCACAGTGCACTATCACAAAGAATGTGTACAGTTTGGCTCAAACATTGCATTGTGGAGAAAATATTGCGGCTGGCTACGGGCTTCAATACATCCTGAATGAAGCTTTATTAAGTGGCTGAGATATGTTATTATCTGCTTTGTGATTTACACAGCACAAGAAAAATGAATTTGTTGCATCATCCAAACATGCCCCGTCCCCTTTCCCTGTGTGAAACCCATTTCTCGGGAGAGTTTCTCCTTCCATTAACTACAGCGGGTGTCGCTGGCAGCAGCGGGGCAGGCTGGAGTCCAAAGCTGCACTGACATTAACTCTGCTCCTTGTATGAGCAATTCCAGGAATGTTTTAGAGGTGCTTGTTGCCATATTTGCATTGGTAATGAAAATACCTCCCATATTAAAGTGATTTATGGAAGGCTGGGCTGAGAATGGTATCTACGGCTTCAGGACAACGGAGACGATTAGCCACGATGCTACTGCAACGTCTGCTGAGTCTGGATGTCTCAGCGATGACTGTGGCTCAGGCACGCGTTGTCCCATAGCCAGCAACGCACTGGGAGCCCCAGGGCCAGGATCAGCGCTAGCTGCCTCTCATTTTCCAGCCAGTGTTTATGACTGAGTCATCTGGGGGCAGCCCTCCACATGTGTCTGGAGAGGGGCTTACATCCACACCTCCGCTATGCAGCAAAGCACTCCTTCACCACGCCACGGCCACCTCCCGTTGCGGGCGCCCGGCTCCTGGTGCAACGCCTGCCCCACCAGTCATGCTCCCCCCTGAGCTGCTCCTTCTCGTCAGGAAGATGATGTAAGGGGAGCACGGGCAGCAAAGGCTCAGGTTGTCTGGTCCACAGCCCTGCCCTGCTAAGCCTAGACAAGCATTTGGCAAGGAGTGATCAAACCTGCTCTTAGATCTCTCCCGTCAGCCACCCCTCAGCTCCTCCCAGAAATTTCCTTCAGAATTTTTATCCTTACCAATAGGAGGGTTTTTTTTCCTAATGTCTAGTCTGAATTTCTTTTGCTCTAATTTAAAACCATTAGTAGGGACACAGAAAACTTTGTCCTTCTTTTCCATCCTACTGCTTTTTTTCTTCTTTAAGCTAAACAACTCCGGTTTGCCATCAATGTAACTGGACCAGGATTTCTGTTGAAGCTAGGATGGCCTAGCTGACCATCTGCTGTGTTGGTGGATATATTAACTTGTGGTCGTCTTTCTTTTTTCAACCCACAGGTGAGTACAAAATGCCGTGGCCTGTGGTGGGAATGTGTCACAAATGTTTTTGACGGGATCCAAACTTGCGATGAGTACGACTCCATCTTCGCCGAGCACCCGGGTATGTCAGAGTCAAAGATGTTTCTACAAGTGGTGGGGACACCTGAGTGTAGACAAAAAGAGCATCTGTTCTATTCAGTGGCAGATAATTTGGTGCACATACGTATTAGAGCCATGTTTCTTCTCTCTAGTATTAAGCGAGGTATTACTCCCAGGGGAAGCTGGAGAAAGCTTCACCCCAGAAAAAAATGTTCCCACAGGACCTGACCCCATTACCCACCCACATTTCCATGCCTTGTGCACTAGAATGATCTGCTTTTGTCCTGCAGTGAAGCTGGTGCTGACCCGAGCCATGATGATCACAGCAGATATCCTGGCAGGATTTGGATTTCTCTTCCTCGTCCTGGGACTGGACTGCGTGAAATTCCTTCCCGATGAGCCGCTCATCAAGCTGCGCATCTGCTTGGTGTCTGGAGTTATGCTGCTCATTGCAGGTATTCCCCCGCTACACCCCCATCCTGCAGGACACCCTTTAGCAAATGGGGGAAGCTTTAAAGCCTTCTCTTACTTTGGGGAGAGGAGCTGGTGATTTTCTAGAGGGTAAACATGGGGGAAGGATCTTTATTTGCTTTATTTGTGCAATATAGCTTCCTCTGTTCACTGCCTGCCCCTAACAGCACATAGTTGAGTTTATCTGCTTTCATTTCATGTATTGACCAGGTGGCTTGGCTCTGAGTTGACTGACTTCCATTTACTGCTGTGTTACTGTGAAGAAGTCAGTGTTGTTGATAAGGCAGAGACCTAATTGCTGAAGGACTAGAAAGTCCCGGCATGCTGATTTGGTTCCTGGCTCTGCCACAGATTGTGTGACCTTGGGCAAGTCACTTAGCCAAAATCTCTGCAGCCGATCTCTAATAAAAGGATAATAACACATCTGTCCCTCCTAGGTGATAAATACCTGACTGACTGAGGTGCTTTGCTGTTACAGCCAGTGGGAGAATTTTAAATGCAAAAATAGACAGTCAACTAGGTACCAAGTAACTTCCTTTGACCTTATGCCAATATTGAGCATCCACCTCTGCTTCAGCGTAAGCAGATTCAACACATAACTCACCTCAGCCACTGGGAGCACATGTAAAACACTTTGAGACGTTCTTTTAAACATCCTCCATTCACCTCCCAAAGTTTGTCTGAAAACCACTGTCAAAGATCTGAAAGTCAAAACTGATTAGAAAATTAAATTCTTGAAGCAACTTTACAACAAGTTGATAAACAAGCTGAGAAGGGAGGAGCTTTCTGCTTTTTACTGCAGAAACCTGAGTGCTGCCAGCCAGCGCTGATGGTGTGTGTGAGTGCCAAGCCGCGAGGCACAGCCTCTGCCTGACAGCGCTCCAGCTGATACCAGTAGGAGCCAGGGTGAATCCGCCAAAGTGACGGGGCTGAGGCTGAACGGGGGCCAAAACCTGCCGTTCCCATCCTAAAGTCTGACCCAGCAGACAGCAGGCTATAGCTCCAGATTTTATGTTTGTGATCTCCTCGTGGTCCATCTGGGAGCTCTGTGTGGCACCTCCCTCCTGTCCTGCAGGTCTCCCAGGCATTACTGGCTCGGTGTGGTATGCCGTTGATGTCTACGTGGAGCGCTCCTCTCTGGTCTTCCACAACGTGTTTCTGGGCATCCAGTACAAGTTTGGCTGGTCGTGCTGGCTCGGCATGGCAGGGTCACTTGGCTGTTTCTTATCCGGGGCCCTGCTCACCTGCTGCATGTATCTCTTCAGAGGTGAGGAACTGTGGCAGGGCTGAAACACAGTTCAGAGATAGAGCCATCGCTCGGGGCGTGCTACAGGCACACAGGGTGGGGAAAGTCCTTCAGGGACATCCTTCAGGATGGTTGCTCATCCCCAGTAGCGATATCTTCAGCTGTAAAATGGGAATAGTGTTATTTCAGCAGCTCTAGAAAGCACATCAAGGTCTTCAGGTGGGAGTGGAGGTGTAAGTACGACATAAAATGTGTTATTATGTCATATCTTGGAGTGCTGCTTTCTCTGCATTTCGAGACTTTGCAGCTGAAAGTCACCAAGCACTTGTTAGCAGATCCTATTTCTCTCCCTGTGCCTCACAGAGACCAGCTCTGGAAGACTCCACTCTGCTTACTCCTTGAGGAAAGGCTATTCCTCAGCTGGCACAATCGTAACAAACGTGCATTTGCCATCCTCGCAAACAGCTACTGCCAAAATGTATGCAGTGGACACAAGAGTGTGAGGAGGAGGTAAGCGCTCCAGAAAGAGCTCTACTTTAATTTGTAGTGGATTGCACAGAGACCCAAGCTCCTGTGGTTGTGATACAGATGCAAAGTTAAATTTCAAGGATGTACTGTACACTACAATGTTTGCATTATGAGAGCTTCAAAAAAAACCTTCCTTCAAGAAAGTAATCTCTGAGAAGATCTTGCTTTAGGGGATCCTGTTGTCTTGAGTGCTGAGGCCACTTGCATAAGCATGGACTGAAATAACCGACACAAACTCTTTCAGCATTTGGCTCAACACTATTGGTATGAATGAGATAAATCAGCTGCTCCTGGATCAGACCCCAGTGTTCCTCATGAAGATCCCCAAACTGTAAGATGGATCTCTTCTGTGTCTGGCAATGTGTTGACAGAATGTACAAAGCAGAAAAAACAGGTGAAGAGAGGGCCTGATCATCTGGCCAACATCTGGACCCTGTGTACCCAGCATGGGGGTCTGCTCCTCTTAAAGGCAGCTGGAGAGTTCAGCAGAAGATAAAGAGCTGTGTTAAATGCCTGGCCCTCTCTTTGGCCCATGAACCTCTGCACCGAGGAAACACTGCAAATTCAGGTGCATTCTTCCCTGCAAAATACAGTCCTCTCAGTAAGGGTTAAAATGTACATTGCAGATGCTCTAGACTCACTGAGATCCAGAAATTGCCAGCTTCTTTCTGCTTAGTAAAAATTTTGCCTGGAAAAAGACAAAGTGAGTGAAGATCCAAGATCTGACCTTCTGCATGACAATATGTCTATACCAGCTAGAAACTAGGATAAAGGATAGTAAAATCTGTTGTCCCTTTCTATCAAAAGGTATTTAAATCCAGTTCAGGACTGCTGTCCCCTGCTGCAATCCAGGCTGCCATAGGCTGGCTGAGGCTAGAGCATCAGCCGTGTCTTCACTAGGGCTGGTGAAAAAACCCAGCGTGGTTTAACACATTCGCTAAGGATGGATGCAAACGTGCCGACAGCCCTTCCATGCCTTTGAAGGAAAGAGAAGCTGAGACACAGTTTTCTTAGGCTTGTCAGGAACTGCCCAAATCCAGTCCTTTCTACCATGGGCACCACATCATATGGTCATGGGCACCAGGGGTTGAGAAAAGGCTCTCAGCACAGAGATATACCTGTTCAGGGGGAGTGAAGAAACAACAGCGGAGTCTCAGGAGGGTGTGCACAGCCATGGGTACTGAGGGTCCACTAGAGGTAGGCCTCCTCCACTGACTGCTTGGTGGGGACACTGGATGGAGAAACTCCCTTCCTCCCCACAGGCAATACGAAGTGACGCCTTATGTTATGAGGGCCAGAGGGAGATGGGATGGCTGTGGATGGAGTGGGCTATGTCCCAAAGAACACCTCTGATAGCCCCTACGATGGAAGATGAGGGGGGCTGAGTCTTCTCATGGATTATCCTGGAAGCAGCATCTTGTGCTGCAGCGCAGAACTGACCAGCAACGGTAAAACATAACCCAATCCTGACGTGGCTCCTAATCAAATAACACTCAGGCCCTGGGACAGATGGGACAACAGCAGGTCCATATGGCTTTGCTACGGGCTCAAGCACCTCCACAAGGCTCAGATCATAATGCAACCACCTCAGCAAGAGCCCCTGTGGCAGCGCTGCTGCCCAGGCAAGGGAGGCTTCATGCCTGCAGAGTCCATGTTGCTTTGGTTGGCGGACATCTATGTTAGCCAAACTGAAAGCAACTTGTTGCCAACAGATGAGCTATACTGAACAGGTGTAAACACAGTAGGAGAAGTGATGGAGGCTTTTTTACAAAGTCCTGAGAGACGAGGAGTACAAGAGTTATAAGCAATGTGATGAATTCATGAATTATACCAAGAATGCACAAAGAGATCTGGAGGTGATAGGAATTTCTGCCTGTTATTGCAGAAAACTGGAGAGGCAAGGCCACATCCAGAGCTTTTTTTTTTTTTTAAACTTTTTCACAGTCACGTCAGAAACATGCATTTGCTGTGGGGCTTTTGGGGTGGAAGAGCTGGAGCTGGTACGTTGTGCCGGGGGAGGGAAGCTCCGGGGATGTTTGTGGGTCTGGTTCCTGGGCTGTGCCTCTGCTCCCCTGCTCCTTCAGGGACACGCCAAGAAGGAGAGGGCAGATGAACCCACTGCTCTGATGCCTGCATCCCTGCTATTCCCCAGGGAGGCCAATGCTGCCTCAGCCTCCCTGAGGGAGGAGAGATGCCCCGACGCCCCGGGCTGCCCCAGCCTGATTCACCCAGTGCAGAGATGCTCCTCGGGAGGAGGTACTGAGCAAAGACATCATCGCTTGGACCAAAATTCTGAATCAAATCCTTCCCAGACTATGCAGCCAGCGCGTTAGCCCTCACCACTAACACTCAGGGACACCCGCCAGCCTCTTGTTGCTGTTTTCTACAGCTCTTTCTGAGGCATGAAGATTATCTCTTGCTGGGAAGATTTATTTCTTGTTTAGCAGAGGAGAAATAGTCTGGGATCGCCTCCTAACACGGATGTAATTGCAGATCTCAGACCATTGATTTCTCCTGTTCTTTTCTTCTGTAAGCCGTAGTTGAGGAGATTTCTGGGCCTTTGTCCTAATGGTCTTCAGCATGTTTTAAGGTGGGGGAGGTGTTTTGTGACTTGCAACACGTGGGTGACACCAAGCAGCGGCTCAGTGGACACTTTGGGATTAAATGTGTATGTCCTGGTCAGGGGTGAATATAGCAGACTGGTCTCATTAGTACCTCCAGCCCTGTGCTCCCCCTGGGGGTACACAAATAAGGCACACGCATACCCCAAATACTACCTTAACTCAGGGTGCATCATCCTTAAATATACATGTATACAAAGAATGTTGCATAAACATTTGTGAACCTTTCTCTTCAGTATCTATGTAGAATAAGGGTTAATTCTTTAACCATGCTCCTGTTCTAGCCACACTCTACCATAGCTTTTGAGGATCTACGAAAAGATCTATGAAAAGACTAGGAAAAGGTCACAGCAAGCCTTAGGTTTGGCAGGTTAATGTTTTGTAACAACCAGTCCAATGCTGCATTGCTTCATTATTCAAATCCTGCTGACAGTCTATCTGATGTTTTGATCAGTTGTTAATATTTAATTGTTAATTCACTGTTTGATTTAATTCTGACTCTGATTTCATGACTGCAGTATTCACTCCTCATTAGCTCATTACCATGCCACAATGCAGATCTATTTTAGTTTGGTTGTTTATTCATTAGCAAGAAACCTCCCAGAAAGTACACAGGACTTATTTTTTCTTTCAAAATCACAACCAGTCCCTAAGGCTAAAGACATTGCAGGTGAGGTCAGATATTAAGATATTTCCTTAATACCTACCTACATCCCATTCAGCAGCAGCTTGCTAGGAATGCCAATAGACTGACTTTGCCTTCCTGATGACTGTTCATGGCTTACCAAGGCTCTTTGCTCAGTTGCAATTTCCAGCTGAGGCCCAACATTTAAGCCTTCAGTGCCAACCGCCTTTCAGGCTTCTCCAGATTTTCACTTAACTTCCAAGGAGTATTTTTGTACTTTTGGGCATCTCAGTCTCGTTGCTTCGTTTCCCAGGGTATAGGCAGAGTCAGGGACTTAGCTGAGAGCTGGGGCTCCCACGTTTCCTCCCTGCTCTACCCGCCCCATGGTGTCTCCTTGAACCTGGGGCTCCCCATTGCCCTCTCCACTGACAGCACACAGTTCGGTGCAGTCTGCCACGGATCCGGCTGTTTGCAAGTTATGGAAAATAGCAAAGTCTTGTAGGTAAGCTCTTTGCTAAGTTGATTTCATGCCTTACAGATAGGTATTGATTTCCCATTTTGATCCAGGCAATTGTGAGAGATAATAAAACAATGACATCTGCAATGGCTGTCCTTTTCTGCATGCAATATTTTGTCCTCTCACTACCTCGATCAACCTTGTTCATAAGGGCTTTTAATAACTCCATCTGTAATGAGGACTCACTCTTACTGTGACCTTGTGAACTACACTATCTCCTACTGCAGCTGCATGAATATTTCCCAAAATATGGATTTCCTGCCTTTTCACACACATTGTAATGTGATTCTGGTGTGAATTCAGTAGATCTGAACAATTATTTTCAGTAGGTAAGAATGTTACTTCAGAATTCTGTTTTCCTTACATATTGTAACATTAGTGAGATACAATAAATGCAGTTGCCTTTGAGCGTTGTGTTTCTCTAACCCACGTCCAAATTTTGCCCAGAAAGGTGCTTTGCCAGGTGACCTGCTCAGACTCCTGTGAGGGAAATCACTGGTCTCCTGCAAGGACACACAAAAGGCAGCAGCACAAACAGGACCCGCTGTGGGAAAGTGGGGTGTGATTTCGGAGGCTGCCCAGAGCTTTGCCAGTAGCTACAGACCCCAGATCCCAGTACAGCAATGGCTTTTCAACAGCTGTAGACTTTATCCCCAGCTTAGACACATCTACTTACAGTCATTTTATAAACTTTCCAAGAGAGAAAAGTAAAATCCCACCAAGAAAGCGAGGTTTTCTCTCTCAGCTGGGTCTGGACCCCCACAGTTTGCTCTTCTGCATGTGTTAAATATTGTGGGCAAGCGATTAATGACCGAAATATTCTGTCCAAGCACTGTTACAGGGAGCGGAGAACAATTTTCTCTCAGGTCTTGGGTCCCTGCTGCAAGATGCCTTGGAGCGAGAAAGGAAAGAGCCAGAATTGTGCCATCTAGTGACCCGAAGAGAGCGAGCATCTGTCCCCGGCCCCATCCTCTTCCTCCCTGTGCAAAAGCCTTTAGCCTATAATCCAGAGTCTTCAGATGACAATAAAAAACAGATTAATGAGCATTTCTATTATTTTCCCATCTTTTGTGTGCAACCCTCCTGGCAGCCCTGACCGATCCCCTGTTACGACTCAGCTGTCTTTGGTTTTGCTCTATTTTGCCTGAGAGCCAGTTTATGACTTTATTATTCAGCTCTTGATGTGCAGAGGTGAAAGTCCAGCTGTGCGCC